TTCTCCATCTACCTGCATATACAAGCTAGGAGATGCTGAGCCAGGCTCCCGGGCCAAGACCACAAATGGATTCTAAGGCCCATTGTGGATCACTGTGTGTTCAGGGAGCAATCCCATCCCTGCCTCTTAAGAGCACTGACTGGCCCCATAGCTGGCATTAAAATTAATTACCATGAGCATCAGAGATCCCTTGAGCAGCCTTATTAACTAATTAACTTGCTACATTCGCTGTGTTCCCATTCCACGCACAGCCTCTTCTCTGCTATACCTTGCAGTGAGGATGGAGCTGAAGGCATCCTCCCTCCCCGCCCCATCCCCTGGCAGAACCTGTGAGGGCTCCCCACTGCCTATGGAATTAAGAAGAAAGCAGGCCAGCTCCTGGGGGTGGGGGTCCCTAGCTGTGGGCCTGCGTGAGGAATCTTGCCAATCTTGTTCTTGTTCCCATAGAAGCTTTCACACACTAGCCAACTAGACTGCTGCTTTGAGAACACAGAACCTCCAGCCCTTGCTTTTGCTGAAGCCCTTCCTCCATCCAGAGGGTACCATCCCTTTCATCCAGAGGGTTCCCTCCCCTCCCTCCTCTCTTCCCCCTCCATCCCCCTCCCTCCTCTGCGATCATATCTGCCATTCCAGGAGATGTCAAGTACACTCTTTTTCTTAAACAGTGCTGTGAATTGAACCTGGCCTCACGCACACTAGGCAAGTGCTCTACCATTGAGCTAAATTCCCAACCCAAGTACTCTCATGTCCAGGAAGCCTCTGTTGATTAATTCCAAGGCCCTGCTCACCCACTGTTCAGCTGTCTGTTCCTTGACCTGTCCACATTCTATTGTATTTGAAATGGTCTGAGCCCTTGGAATAGTCTTTCCACGGCTCCTATTTGTGCTCCCACCGTTCCTGACCTAAGGTGCTCTGTAAGTGTTTACGGGACTGAATTGACAAGCAGGGGCTTGTTTTAAAGAGCTCATCTGTCTCTAGAAAAAGAGGAGACCCTCTGATACATAGTCTGGGTTTCCAGGCTCCAGAGGCTCTGTTCTCAGGGGCTCCTTAATGTCCCAGCAGGTGTGAGAGGCACCGGTTACCTAAGAAACACCTCAGATTAGCTCAGGGCTGAGATCTAAGGAGGAGATGGCTTTGGGTAGAGGTGTTGAGAGAAGAAAGGTAAAATGGCTTGCTGGAGGACCACAGCAAACGAGAACAGGCTCCCACCGGGATGGGGCTCCCTGAAGGGCAGAGTCCAGAGGAGGTGAGTGGGGTTTCAGAGTCTGATGTCTGCTTGAGTGCCACCTATGCATGTAGCTGAGACGAGAGAATCACAGAAGGTAGCTGCCCACTGACCTTAGACCCCACAGCCTAAGGCTGAGCCGTCAGAAGGTTGCATGCTGGGAGAATCCTTTTAAAAGACGCTTAGGCTGGGGCCCACCCTTTCACCAAGGTCCTCCACACTGGAACCACCGGGGAAGGCTGAAAAACCTCATTCTTGTGTGTAGTCCAACCAATGGCATCAGAACCTTTACCTTGATGCATGGCCCAAGGAAGGATACAAACAAAAGCTCTCACATCTAACATGGAGGCCCACATCTGGTTGAGACTGCCCTTGTTTCGTACTCAACGATGGACTGGCCCATCTTGGAGGCAGCACCTCCAAGTGCTAGGCCTGCCATCCGCTCTGTTCCACCTTTTCTTTCTGATTCCAGAAGCCATGGGCCCTAGGGAGACCGCAGGTGAGGGAATGGTTGTAGTACTGGCTTGACTTGGCCTCAAATGAGTGGTTGCAAAAACTTCAGTTATGTATCTGTGCTTAAAAGGCTAGTTTAAAAAAAAAAACAAGTGAATAAATCACTAGTGTAAAAAATTGAGTTATTTAAAGTTGTAATTAAACAAATGGTATGAAAACTAAGATAATAAGTGTGAAAACAATCAACACAGAGTATATCATCTGTGTTCTCTAGTTTTTATCTATTGGATTTTACAGTGCAGATACAGACAAGCCTCCTCTTCCAGGAAGATTTATCTGTTTAAAAATCTCCAGGTATTCAACTCTCTGTATTCACTTTCTTCCTATACATATGGGCTTATGATAACGTTTAACTAGAGATTAGCAATAACTAATGGTGTAATGAGATAATTGCAACAATACACTAATAAAAATTATTTAAAACTTGTGAATCGTTTGTCCCTGGAAGCTTCTATTCTGATTTTCAGATTGAGTTGACCTTGGGAAACTGAAATTGCGGAAAGTTGATATCCCATGTGGTGGTGTGTTACCTCACACCTTCTTAGATTTAGAGCCACCATGGTGATGTCTTGAAACTAGCTACCTGGAGGGCTTCTGACACAGATCCAGGAGAATGCTACAAACCCACGCTTTCTTCTCTGGAGTGAGCTTCAAGAAGAACGTTGGGCATGAATGAGCGTACAGAGAGCCTAAGCATGCTGGTGGGTGTAAAGGGCCACACCTGACCTGCGCAGAGGGCAGGCCCTCACAGGAGCTGGTCTTAACCCTTCAAGAGGTTTATGGTCCCAGGGCCTGTGAACCGAGAGTTCTCTGCCCAGCACAGTGTGGCACCTAAGCCAGATACGTACAGATAGCATCTACAATCTACAGAAGGTGTCTGGACAATGGGCTACTTCGAAACAGCAAAAAATGAAACAGGCCATCTTGACAGCCATCTGAACACTGTCATCCTCACCATCATCGTAACCGTTATCACCATCATCATCATGATCGTGATCCCCCTTCTCTTCCGGGGCTGCCCCCTGTAGCTTCAGGCGCTGAACACAGCAGTGTTGTACGAACAGTAGATGACCGCTACCAAGCACAGGGCTCTGTGCGCGTCGATTTCCTTTGCTCTAACTTGCACACACACCTTCATTAACAGATGAGGTAAGTAGAGCAGAGCAGGGATAAAGACTTCCCCAATGTAATGGATGATAAGGGCCCATTCAAGCCCTGCTGGCCGACTCCAGCATCTCTCTCACCTCCTCCTCTGTTCCCTCCCTGCCCAGTCAGTGGGACCTGTGATGGACTCTAGGAAGGTTCAGGTAGATATTGGGATAAAACAGAATATTAAAGTCCTGAAGGCATGTGGAGTGCCCTGGGCAAGAAGCTCATTCCTTCTCTTGGTGGCTACGAAATCTTTTTTTACTTCTTAATTTTGGGGGGATGGTGCCGTGTGTGTCATGGCCAGTGTGCGGAGGTCAGAGAACTGTCAGGAGAGTATGTTCTCTCCTCCTGCCACCATGTGGGTCCCAGGTATTGAACTTGGATCATCAAGTTCCTTTACCCATTGAGCCATCACATTGGGCCTTAGAGACCTTTTCATAGAGGGGCTTGGAATGGACATATCACAGTGTGAGCCTGGCACATAGTTGGGGATTTAGGGCGTTACTGCCAGGTACCAGAGGCCTGGCTCCACCCCAGCTCTTTCAGTCACCAGAGGGAGATTATGCATAGGTCCCCATGGTCGTATCTGAAACAGGAAGAATGTGGGCTATGAGAGCTGTGTGATCCTCATCAATTCAATATTCTCTGCCTGTGTATAAACTACAAAGGAGGTGATTTGAGTGTCCGAGAGAGACTGGCTGTTCTTTAAAATCTGTGATTAATGTTTGAAAAAGAACAGAAAAAAAATAATAATTATCCAGGCGAGGTAGGGGATCCTGGATTCCTTCATTAAGTTAACAGAATTGTCAGTGAGGTGTAGAAACACCAGATGGCTTACTTCATTCCTGGTTCATGGGGACCTTTAATGAAAGCACCCCCTCTCCCAGCAAGATCTTGACAAGAAAGCAGCAGACATGGGTTCAGCTGCTCAGCCTAGTCCAGGCTAGTGAAGCCTCCTTTATGGCCACTCGTCATTACTCTTTCTAAAGGCATCATGGGATAGGATGTGGCTCTCAAGGGAGCTGTAGATAGGCAGCATGTTAAGAGGGGCACTGTGGGGTTTGCCCTGAGATTACAGCTCCCACAACTTCTAGAGTGAGGGAATTGTGGGGCAGGGCCGCAGGCACACCAGGTCTTGCTCAGCAGGCAGCAAAGAACCAAGGGGTCTCACGGCAGAGGCTCTTCCAATAAAAGCCTGTGGAGGCTTAAGAAAAATAAAGTATCAGTGTATCAAGCCAAACCTCATGGCAGACACCCAGAATATGACAAAACCACTGCTAACTATGGCCGCAAAGATGGATTTGCACTAAACCTTACATATTTATATGAAAGCCAGACTTGGTGCCATAGGCTTCTAACGCCAGCACTCAGGAGACTGAGGCAGGCGCATCAAAAGTTCAAGAACAGCCTAGCCGACTCCAAGAGCGCAAGGTCTGTCTAGGTAACTTCATGAGACCTTCTCTCAAAATCTAAAGAAAAGATAATCTAAATAGAAGGCTGGAACCCCTCAAGGGTAATCTCTCCCCATATCTGTCTGTTTTCCCAGGATTCTAGAACGCCTGGCAATGCCCCATAAGCACACAATATCTTTTCCAAGTGAAAAAAGAATGAACAGGCAAGCTCCAAGGCGAGCTGATCAACACTCCTGGTTTGCCTTTGGGAAACTACCGTGCTTTTGTAAAACCACCTCTGTCTGGTGGCTGTCAGAGCAGCTTCTGAGCTGACTGAGCACCAGAGAAAGGCCCCGTCCACAGACAGGCTGGTGGAAACTAGAGACCCAGCCTCCGGTTGCAGCTACTTCAGCGTGTGTTGTTTCTAAAATTGACGGTCACGTGACCGCCCCTACAGTGTCTTGCTGCATCTTCTGGAAGACAATTCAAATTTTATACAGAATATGCTGTTTTCTGTTGAGGCTGGGGGTTTCCCTTTTGCAGTCTGCTCAGTTTGCAGTAGGGAGTATGTGTAAAAGTCAGGTGGATAGTATACTCTACCAACTGTCAAATACTGCCCTGCCAGGCTCTGCCAGCCATGCCCACCCAGCCTCAGTCCCGCCTTCAATCCATAAATACTCATCTTCCTGGAAAACCCAGCATGCCCTCCTACTCCTCCTTACATTATTCCTCTGCTGCTCCAAACACGCTCGTTTTCATCTTTTCTTTCCTCACTCTGGCCCCATCCATAGCAGATGGCATCATCCCGGGCTAATTTTCAGCCATCAGCTTCTCCAGTCCCATCACTTGCCTGCCTGTTGTTATAGCAGAAAAGTCATGAAAGCCAAGAAGGAAAAGTGGCCAGGTGGGGTTCCTTGAAGTCCCCCAGATTGAGAGGGTGGAGCATCGGCGTCCTGGCAGGTGTGTACAGTGGGGAGGAAGAGGGCTCTGACGGGCAAGTTCAGGTGTGCCAGAGTGCCTGGCAGCTTACCCGGGCATGAGAGCGGGGGGCACGAAGGCGGCATTGAATTCGGTCAATAGTGTGCCTGCGCTACGGGAGGCCATGGTGAGGTGCTGCGAGCCCCAGCGCTGTGGCTCTGCTCAGCCCTGTGGTAAACAGCCAGCTGGTCACCCGGCAACCACGTGCCTGGCAACCCGAGTTCGTTCTGGGACAGTGAGTCCTCGGCAGTGTGCTCCCTAGACGGCCTCTCTCGCCCCATTATCCCCACAAGTTTTCTACATGACTCCCCTAAGTCTCCCTGGCATCCAGCCTAGGCGTTCATATCTACGATGCTCACATTTGGTGCGGAAGTAAAAGGGCTAGGTCGCTCCTGAAGAGGTTCTCAATGATTCAGTTTGGGCCACTAGGACGCTCAGGGCTCCCTTCATCTTTGAGGCTCCAAGAAGTGGCTCCGTAATGGGCCGCCACTCGGCACTAGGTGTGTGGTTTCCCAACCCTGTCATTTCAGAGTTCTGCATTCATTTCTTCATTACTCTCATCGTATCCCTTTGAGCTTCCTTTCCCACGTTCCTCAGACAGGGTGAGCTGTGTCTGGTGATTTGTACCTGTAATCCCATCTTCAGAGGCCGAGACAGGAGGATTGCTAGTTTGAGGATAGCCTAGGCAACTTGGTGAGACGCTGACAGGAGCAGAGGAGGGACCGGAAAGGAGAGGGAGGGTGTGGGTGTTATAGTTTGAGTCTAGAATATCCCTCACCGGCTCCTGTCTTGAGCCTCGTTCCCCGGTGGGTTTTTTTTTTTTTCTGTCTGAAATTTATTAAATTATAAAAGTTTCCATTTCCGCCCCTCCTCCCAACACCCTCCCACTCACTTTTCTTATAAGAGATGGTCCCTGGCTGGAGTGAGTGGCTACTAGTGGCCACCCTTGGAAAGTCATGCTTTGGGCTCTGGTTCCGACCTCGTTCTGTTTTCTCATCTCTGAGCTGTGAACGGAGCTGCCCTTTCTTGCCTCCCCACCGTGCTGGGTTGAAACTGTTGCCTAAAATAAAGCCTGGCTCCACTAAGTTGTTTCAGTCCGTTACTTTGTTAGGGTGATATGGAGGTAAAACACTGAAGGTGTGGTTTCCATTTGTCTCAGTTCATTCTGGGCAGGAATCTTCAGGGTTGAGTTTTTCCTCCAGTCATCAGAGCCCTAAAATCCACGTAAGATTTGCTTTACATAAACTGTCTCCCTCCATAAGACTTTTCCAGAGGCAAATCTAGGTCCCATCAATTAGCCGGTCAATGTCAATCACTCCCAAGTCGATCTCTTCTCTCATATCAGACTGGGAGAAGTGTACCCTGCTCAGCTGGCTCTGTAGATGGCGGCTGATGAAGACACAAACACTAATGAACTCAGGAAGCCACTGCAATCAGAACACTCCAAAGACGCCCTCTAACAGACGCCAGCGCGTCTGGGAGGTGGGGAGCTACATGTTTCCAAGAGGCACACACTCAAAAAAAAAAAAATCAGAACAACTAAAACCTATTGTGGCAAAGAAGCCAAAGGTGGGTGAGTGGTTGCCAAGTCAGCGGAGGAATGCCATCCAGTTCTACCTGCAGTTTCCTGAGGCTCCTGGGGGGACATTGCTGCACAAAGAAAACATTTGATAAAGTTGTTTTGTTTTTCATAGAGCTTTTCTAGGTAACAGACTTGGCTGTCCTGGAACTCGCTTTGTAGACCAGGCTGGCCTCGAACGTGAGATCTGCCTGCCTCTGCCTCCCAAGTGTTGGGATTAATAGGTGTGCACCACCACTGCCCAGCCAGTAAAGCTGTTTTGAAAAGGTGCCCTGTAGATCTGATGTGACAAGGTGGCGCGCTCACCTCCTCCCCATCAGTGGCATCCCAATTTGGACACATCACCCCCTGTGCTGCTCTGGAGCGTCTTTTTTTTCTGCATGAACTCTGACTCGGGGTATCTGGGGCAGTTTTTGGAATGGTCAGCTGGTGAAGATAAGCCACGCTAATTGGAACTGCCGTCATCTTGTCGATGGGAAAACTGGGGTTTGGTGACAGTTCCTAGGGCAGCTTTGAAGGACTTTCCCTCAACATGCACAGGGCTGCAAAGGGCTCCCTAAAATTCACCCTTTATAGCGAAGCACAACCAGGGGACCCTTGGGAAGCAGGGGTCTGCTAAGTACCACCGAGCCTTACAAACAAAGACGGATCTGTATAATTAATTTTAAAGGGACATTAAACTTGGTCTTTAAAATTATTAGATATTTGCTTTTATTCAGTATATGCATTTCTAAGAATTTTCCAACTCAGAGTAATTAAATATGTGTGGGAAAGGTGAGCAGAAACTGGGAGGGAGAAGAAGAAAATGAGCGCACAGGGAAACGGGTAAAGAGCAAGGAACAGTGAGAAGAAGCGGAAGCTCTCGGAGATCTGCAGGCTGCTCCACTATTGCGGTGCCATGTCTCTCTCTCTCTCTCTCTCTCTCTCTCTCTCTCTCTCTCTCTCTGTGTGTGTGTGTGTGTGTGCGCATACAGGGGAGTCCATTTCCATTGCTACAGCTCACATCTGGAAGCCAGAAGACCAGTTGATCCTCTCTTACCACACAGGTCCAGGGTCAAGCTCCGGTCATCAGGTTGGATGGTAGGAGCCCTCACCTGCCGAGCCAGTCCATCAGCCCAAAGCCTGTACACTTTTTGACAGGACACTGAGCTTCTGAGCCCTGTTCATATTAGTTAGACTTCTGGCTATTACAGGATACCCTGTTCTTTGTCCCCAGCTGAGGATGTGGGAGGTTGGAGTCCTGAGTCTTACACCCTGCGGTTTCTGAGTAGGTACCTCCAGTGATGATCCCTATTTCAAGACCAGCTGCCTGAAATTCAAACCATGATCCCAGGACAGAGCACCAGAAATCAGCATCCCAGGGACACAAACAGTACAGGGCCAGGTGGTCAGTACATTGTTACTTCTATTTTTTTTTCACAGGGACCAGCCCTTGGGAGCATTTTCTAAGCTGCCTTATAGAAACTGCTTTCCAGACTCTAGGGGTGTGTGTGTGTGTGTGTGTGTGTGCAGACTCTAGATGAGTGTGTGTGTGTGTGTGTGTATACAGACTCTAGATGAGTGTGTGTGTGTGTGTGTGTGTGTGTGTGTGTGTGTGTGTGTAGTATGTATGCACCCATGTGGGCATATGCATGTGTCTGTGTTTATGTGTGGAAGCCTGAGGTCAACCTCTGCTGTCTTCCTTGGTCACTGTCTACCTTATTTATTTAAAGACAGGTCTCTTTACTGAACCTGAAGCTTATACATTCAGATAAGACCAAGTGGCCATTAAACTCCAGGGCTTCTCCTATCTCTACCCTTCCCTTGCCCCAGAACTGGGCTAGAAGCCCATGCCACTGCACCCATTTCTAAGACAAATGCCAGAATCCAAACTTAGGTCCTCACGCTCTTGTGGGAGATACTCTACTAGCTGAGGCATCTTCATTGCCCCTGGGCGAGGCTTTTCTAAGTAACACAGCACAATCCATCCAGGCTGCCAGGCTTTCCTGTCCGTGTTCCCCAAACCCTCCGAGCACCCACAACCCTCGTGATTAGCTAGACGGGAGCCACCATGGATAATCCCCAAGACACCGGTATGTCAATCAAAGCCCAGATCATGGCGTTCCTGATCCCATAGAAAGAGGTGCCCTGACCCCACACCCACCCCATCCCCATGCCTACTGCAATCTGTTGGCTCTTAGTGGACATAGAGCTTCCATCCTCCAAGTGGCAGGAGCTTCCATTCAAGGAGCTGAGAGAAGATACCTGAAGCTGGACAGACCTTTATCTAGGGGCTGGTGCTGCTGAATAATGAAGTCAGCATGCACTTCCAAGCTACTGGCTGGGTGTACAACACACACACACACACACACACACACACACACGCTACACACATGCTGGGCTGACAACTCGGAGGGGCGGGGCTGGCAGGGCTGCACGGCTCTGCTGAGCTGAAGAAGCAGCTCGCTGTGGTTGCCTTGGTCTCTGTGGGCAGCATCAGGAGGAGGCGGCAGCAGCCGGAGAAGAGGGAGGTGTGTGAGCCGCACTCAACCAGCTTGCTCCTTCCTGCTGCTCTGCCTGGCACTGCCCAGGCTCTCCCTGCCAGCATGGCCCTGATCGTCCACCTGAAGACCGTCTCAGAGCTGCGAGGCAGAAGTGACCGGATCGCCAAAGTGACTTTCCGAGGTAGGGAAGCCCCTGTCTCTGCGGAACCCCAGGTCTGCAAACTGACCCAGTCCATATTCTGTGAGTTGATAGAGACGGGAGAGGACTGGGAGGAAGGGTGGCAAAGTTCTAGCAGGCGTAGTGGTCTCATGTGCCTGGCCTGAACTAGCCTTGAGGTTTTCTACAATCCCCCAGGCCAACACACCAGTGTCCTGGCAGAATGCAGATTCTTGACTCAGTGAGGCAGAAATGAGGGGTCCATGCCCACAACCACAGCACAGCCTTTCTGGGACCCTTCCTTCTCTTCCCCCACAGACTGGTGTCTGCCTGGTGAATAGGAATCTATGCCTGAAAGGACCAGAGTGGCTGGCAGAAACTGGCAGCCAGCGGCACTCTGCCCTCCAGTGCTCTGAGGGTATTGGCCTTCCTCAGACCTTCGATGTCGCTAGACAGGGACATTACTCCAACCTCTCCTCCTAGCCTGCTTCAGCTCATGGATTATAACCTACTGTGTACCGAATCGGGGGTCTGACATGAGGCAGGCAGACCCCAGTCGGAAGAGCTACATCTGGCGGGGCCTGGGAAGCAGTTAGCAGACAGGCACGATGGGTGTTTGGTGCAGACGGGCAGAGGACATGAGTACCATAACCAAGCTGGGAGCTAGCGCTTGGGGAAGACTTCTAGGAGCAGGCACTGCTCCCCTGCTGGCTGAGGGACGACCAGAGGGAGCAAGCAAAGGGAATTGATGACAGGAGAGGTAAAAGGAACAGTGTGCCCCGAGGCTGGGAACAGAGCTGGAGAAGGGAGAGATAGAGGTGAGGAGCTGAAGCTGGGCATCACCCAGGGTATCTGGCAGCCCCCTGAAGAGTCAAGTAGAGAAAGACAGGGCCAGGTTTGCTTCTGTGCCCACCAACCTCTGCAAATTACAGTTCAACCTGCCTA